AAGAAAAGTATGTAATGCTGAAGAGAAAGTTTCAGCTATATCATTAGAGGTGAAAAAATTCCATTTTTTTTTTAGATCAATAGAACAGAGCCTAGTAAATGTTTCCCAATCTGCTTTCTTAAATTTAAAAGTTTGGCGTCCTTCATCTGGTATAGAGTCATTTGATGTAAGTAACAATGGATAATGATCACACATAATCCATAAAAAAGCATAAAATGACAAAATTGAAAATGTTGCAGGCTCGGTTTTTTTTAGCCTGTTCATGAACGGTACTGGGAAATTAAAGTTGCCGTCCACGCCCACTAATACAAGCAAGCAGAATTCAACGTTTAAACACAAAAATGATTTGAATTCGGAAACATCTACAGATGTGCTCATAGGACGGTCCTCGTGGTATTTTCAATTGAAATTTCATTTAATAAAAGCGGCGTAGGCCCCCGTAAAACATGGGTGCCTTAACAGAGAACAAGGGGGAACAAAAAAAAAGTTATTTTAAAAGGGGGTTTAGGGGTTGAACCCTCATCACAGAAATAATAAAAAAGACAATTTAAAAGCAGAAAACATATCCAAAGTCCAGTCAGATATATACGAAACCCATCACGAATCAGAAAAAACACGATAACAAGAATACCAATACAAAATATCAGTATTACAAAATTTAATTTTCAAACATTTTTTTTATTTTTTTCAAATTTTTTAACATAAGAATTTTTTTAAATTAAAAACTTTTACCTTTTAGGTTAATGTTAAATTGCAAAGACCAAAAATAAAAAAAAATTGAGCAAACAATATATGGGGGAAAACTGAGCCAAACTGTTACCAAATGAAGTCAAAAGCACCTGTGCCCGGGTTTTACTAAATAAAAGGAAATTTTTTAGCTTTTAAGCCAGAACTACGCCCCAGGGCACTATCCAACATCTAAAAGAAAAAAAATCCAAAACTTAAAAATTATAAACTTAAAATTTTATAAAAACCCCTTGTAAATGTATAAAAGGGAATTTGATAGAATGACTTTAAAATATACATTCTTAAAAATACTTTAACTTTTTCATAAAAAGTTAGTACACTTCTTTTTAAAATTTTTGATGTAATTTTTCTAGTATTTGGTTAAACTGAGTAAAAATTTTTTAGAAAAATTCGGGCCCTAAAAAATGTACATAGATAAAAAATAAATCGTATTATAAAACCCCAGGTTGTTTAAGTAAATTATTAGGTTAATAAAACGGAAGAATAATTTAAATAATTTTATGTTAAAAAGAAGGAGGAGAGCTAGGGATAAAAATTTTGGGATATGTCATTGGTAATTTTATTTGAGTAATTGTTAAAACAAAAAATTGGGTTTCATTAGTCTTTCCAAGTTTTAAAAACCCTGAAATGTAAATTTTCGTTTTTTTGGTAAAACAGCAGACCTGTAAAATTTCATTAAAAAATTTAAAAAAACATATTTTTTAAATTTTTATAAATCGATCATTTAATTCTGTCTAAATGACCTTTTAATTTCCATTGTATATTTAAATTTTCACGCACACATTCAAGTGAGGTTAAGGAAAATAGGAACTGTTTTGAATTATCTATTTTAATCATACAATTTCCAGTGTTGTGTACAGCTCAAGATATACAACAACAGACAGTAACAGCTGAAGATGATGTTACTTTACCATGCACATTTGCAACAGACTATCCAACATGGACTGGTCCAGAACTTCATAATGGATATACACAACAATATAACAATCACGGTCAGAGTAGCTTCCCAAACCCAAATGTTCCTGAACAGAAGAGGTTACGACTCGGTTGGGCCGATGATAAAAGTAGTTTGATTATACGTGATGTGATATTCAGTGACCGGGGACTCTATCAGTGTTCTCTTGTTAAAATAAATCTATCTATCAGAGGTATGTTCCAGTTGATAAAAAATATTTTATTGACTAGAAATAATGTTTTGATAAATTTTTCGATTTTTTATTCGTATTTTGTTTATTATTTAAAGTAAAGAGAAAATGTCTTAAATGACAAATACGACCATTACTGCATTTTGCATCGCAAATAGAAGTCCAGAAGTCCATGAACGAGTAAGTGGTTATAATTATAGTAAATATTACATTGCGAAACAATTGAATAATGTATATGATTCAAACGATGTGAATCATTATTGTCATTACTCATTATATTGTTAATCTTCCACGAGTCTCATTTCTCATGGTTTAAATGTTATCACAAATTATTCTACAGAGATAATACAGTCGATATGAAAAGTATTCATTTTCAGTGAGAATAAAAGTGTTCATTGGGTGTTGGATCGAGCTGCTCGGGAAGCCAACATTTTATTTTTTGTACTTTTTAATTATTTTGTCTATCTTAATTCGTTTTTTTTTTTGGGGGGGGGGGTTATGAATTAAGATAAAGTTACACATTTATATGTACTTTTTAATATTACATTATGAAAATATGGCATTTTTACAACATAAAAAGTTAATATTCCCAAATCAGGATGGTAAACCTCCCTTATTTTTGACATAGTTGTCCATAATTGTATCCAGATAAGTATTTGTTGCAAATATAAGGATGCCCCATTATCAAATAACAAATATGGTCAGTTTGAACCATCTCCGCTTTCTTTTTGATCAAATCTGACGTATACCTGTTTCAATTAACCAACTTTTTTCTAAAATGCTTCTACTTTTGCTTTTGTTTTCTTTGTCATTTCTAAACGCAAGAATGGGAGTAAATTAAAACTGTTCTTTCACTCACAATAACACACATATTTGTCTGATTGGTTGTTTTGTTTTGAGTTAATTACTGGTACACAAAAAATGCTGTGAAAATTGCCCCATATTCTTTCAACAGTATGGTTATGGATTTGTTAATCTTTTTAAGATTTCTGTCAACCGAGAGTAGAGATAAAAGCTATCAATAATTTACGTTTTTAAATGAACTTTGAAACACTGAAAATTATAATCAAATACCTTAAGTAACACCATATGCCACAAAATTTTAATATCATTTAATTTATCTACTTTAATTCTGAAATCATGATTATATATGCGTTTACATATACAATTCGTAACATTGTATGACAAAGGTTTTAAACTGTCGTATTTGTGGGAAAAATCTCAATGGAATATTTCTATTTTGTTTTGGTACATAACAATCATATGTTAGCAATACATTTCCAAAGTGATTTATGATTAATTTCGAAACAAGATACCTAAACTATGTCAACATGTCAATTTCTAATGTGAAGTTTTTTTCTATGTTCAAGTACCACCAAGATCTCCAATGATATCAAACACAGAGATATCAGCAGACGACACACTTATTATCAAAACATCTGAGTCACAAGAAACAAGCCTAGTTTGTACATCGTCTGGAGGTTATCCTCAACCACTGGTTCAATGGTACAGAGGAAACACCCCGGACGCAAACCCTTACCATCTCGTCACATCTCGAGTGGGGCATAATTATCAATTATGGATTGTATCCACAGGAGAAATTACTTAATTAGGTAGTTAACGACACAGACTATACGTTTTCACCTCAGGACAAGATGACGTTTTAGTTCTATCATGTTATTGCAGTCTTCAATTCCAGAAGCACCGTGCACGTACATATTTAACAACAACCTAGAGTGAATTGTATTTCTTATATTGTGAGTAGATTGAGTTGTAAATACTTGACTTCTCAATTGCTGAGATATAAAAAACTGATTTTTGACTCTGATTTAATCGAAGAATAATTAAAAGTGCTATAACTCTTATTTATTTATTTATTTATTTTATTATAATCATGACCCTTTAACGCTAGGAAAGCTAATTAATTCGATCATTAAATAAAATGCCAATTATTATATTATTATACATTGATTTTTCTGTGTCAGATTTTCCTTTTTGATTCATCGCGTGGCAGTTATGTAGTGTTTGACTGGTATATTTCTATGTACCATTATAGTCAAATATTAATTTAGTGATATTGTATTTATTATTTTCGAGAAAGAGAAATAATATTATATTCGGTTTGAATAATGTTTAATCTTTCAATTTACTGAACGTAAGAAAGCAACCTGGCTCACTATGTTCATTGCAAGTGTTTCTTGTTTTCAAAATGTTTGCATCATTAACGGACCTTATATCATTAAAGTTAAAAAACACAGTATTCACACCAACAAAGTGTAGCGAATAGCATTATCTCAGGTGTTACAGCGGCACCATATCAAGAGCGACGTAGTAAACGTGTACAACTACTAGGAGAGTAAGAATCACGGCTGCCACTATTATTATCTGGTCGTTAAACAGAATAAGAGCTATGATGATACAGTATATACGGACTGGTTGAACAGACGTTCATGTGCATGGTGAACATTAGACAAATTAACTTATACGAGATGGTATCTTTGTTAGTTCACTCATGATGATTTCAAGCTTGAAGAGACCAATGAGGACACAAACTGGTCCAGTGAGTTAAAGTGAACACACTGATTGTGTATTAACCTTAATAAACTCGGCTCCAAGCTGAATGAGAGCGAGCGATATCAATATTAGAGATAGACATTGTAAAGTTTTAGACCATTATATGTATAGTTTTTATTGAAACTGTTCGATATATAAACTGACTCCAATCAGATTGTTAATAAAGTTAATCAAAGATCAAATTAATATAAAAACATGCTTGTACCTTATCTTGGATCTATCCATGTCGTTCCAGACATCGCCTACATTGACCTTACCAGTACTGATGTATAGTAGGGATCGGATACACCATTTCTGAATTTGCAGATATTTTATGTATATGCAAAGCCTTCCTTTATTTAAGCATGGACCGTAAATGTTAGGATATCTCTCTTTTATATCATCATAACTATGATTTCACGTGAATAAAAGCGTTATATATAAAGTTTTTTTCAAGGTATAGGCAACTGTGTCAAATTATATTTTTGTCATTATATAATAGTATACTGGAAAGATTATATTTATTTAACGTCTCGGGATTAGTAAATATAATACAATGTACTCACATGGATATCGAAAATAAATTGTTAGAAAAATTACTTTTTAATATTATCAAATCTATATAAGAAATGAAAAAATTTCCCATTTATTGAAATATATAACTCGGTGACAGTTTTGTAAAATGACCATTCTAAATTCCCATAGAAATAAATCATGTAAATGCTTTCAATATAACGAGCTCTTTACAGAAGTCACATTAAGAATTAATGAATACACTCTTTTTAATAATATTATTCTGACATTCTATGAAACAGAATAATATATTTCAGAAAAATTGCAAATACATTTAAACCTGATACGTGGTTATACTTGAACATTATAAGCCAAATCTATCATGTTAACATAGGCCATAAAAGGAATATGCGGAAGTCAGATGGGCGAGATATACCGAACACGTGAAACGTATAACAGGTCACTTTATTAGATAACTTTGCGTGCCACAGTGCTTGCCTATTTTAATGTCCAATTAAATGAGTTTTGGAACACAATTAGGGTGCACCTTTACCTCCTTTATCTTGTTTATTATGTGTTATTTGCCGAAGCAACATCTTAGACGAAGATATATCCTTTTTTTTATATTGCAAGGTATTCGAATCAACGACACTTTTTTGAACATTTTCACATCTAATCGTTAATCAAAACGAAAATGCCATCGCGCCTTGCATATTAGTCCATTTCCATTTGTTCGTTAACGAGGATTACCAGACACCAGAAATTTGAGCATTCAGGATGCGTTGATCGGGTTGTTGGCGAATTATATTCCGGATTTTAGTAGACATTTTGCAAAATTCTTATAGTTGGTTTTATTTAACTATACTACAGGGCTGGGACATGGTTTACACAGGGCATTAAAGGTTGTCTGTCCTTGGTGAGAAGGTGAACGAACAGGGGGTGGTGGTGGATGGTATGGGGGGTAGTGGCGACTGTACTCGAGACTGTAATTGGTATGGCATATCAAACGATAGATCATCCTGGCTACCATCTAGCTCCCTGTAACTGAATTTTAAAAAAAAAATTTAACATTAAAAGACCTACATTAATTTTGAAATTGTTATTTATATTTTGGGATATTCAAGCAAAGTAGAATTTCAAAACAAGTTTTATCCAGTTAATTTACTTAAAGTCCAATATAAGTAAAACATTTGTAGATTTTTTTTTGAGAGATTGGAGCCATGACCAACATGTTTCTTATATACTAGGGCGGTTACGAATAGCCGTTCTATATTTTTATCTGAAATTATAATTATTCAATGTTATGTATAGAGTGAATGAATTAATTGTCGAGAATGCCGCGCGCAATTGTCTCTCCCTGAGCAGTGCACACACAACAGATAATAATAAGAACCAGAGCCCTGCCCCATCCTTATCCTGCCGAATTGGCATTAATAAAGGCATACCCAACAAGTTAAGGTGGTAGTAGCACTGAGCGATGGTGGTTCGAACATGATTCCAAGATTGTGTCCAGGCGTATGACTTCTTGCCCGTGTTGAGTGAGTATCAGTAACACGGAAGTGAGCAAAACACTTGATTAAAACAGCTTTAACAACTACGATTAGCGAAAACTCCCGGTTTTTGTTACACCCCTTGTACGGTTGTCCTAGAAACAATAATACCCGGAAATTAAGATTTTTGGTACAAACACAGAATTTGTAGAGGCGAAGCAAAACGGCGGAGCATAACAAAGTTGTCTGGTAACATAAAAGAAATGTAAATTGATATCAAAAAACATCGATTATTGTACACCACTAACTATTTCCTCACAAATCTGTTTACAACGTCTTAATATAATTATATTGCTATGCTTGGATGTTTTATTGACTGTTCTTTATTGCCATATTAAATGCAATTTACTCTATATCTAAGCAATGCAATCTGGATCACAATTATTTTTTAAGCATAAATGACAACTTATTTTTATCAACTTTGTGTCGACTTAACCAAGCAAAAGCATCCACAATTGGAATTTCCTAGCTTCTAAATAACGATACCTAGTCTATAGACAATTTTTACTGGCTAGATGCGAATTTCATTTATTTCATGAATGAAACTAATGCTAGAGGGTGCCCGAGTTTTCTTATAGGAACACTTGATAAATTTCCGGAGTCGATTCTCGGTCCTTAAATAAATTCGTATTCACAAGGCTAGTTATGTCGCTTTTGTTTTTGTCTTCTACTTCTAAACTGATTGTTATCCATCTCATGTGATAACATTCTTAAATTTATACCATAGCACCTATATGGTTTTCAGCCTTTCCAGTCATTGTCAGTTTAGATGCTAAAATTGCCAGCCGATTAAATAGAAATATAACTGTTGAAGTTGAATATTTTTCAAACATAGCAGGATCAGATGTGAAACTGTACAAAATTGTAAATGATGCAATGAAAGCAGTGACTTTATTGTCTGTGAATCCAGTTGAAATCAAAGTACCAGTGTTTTCACATTAATGTGACGCGCCCAGCGATTTTTGGCCCAATTGAGTTTTTAATCATTGTGAGAAAAACGCTTGTAAAGTCACGCGAGTTTTCATGTCTTAATTTTTAGGGTTTCCCTTCAAAACAGAGTATGCTTTTGAGAGTTGAAAGAATAAAAATAAACTAGAAAGACCATCAAAACAATACTTTTGTGGTGGAACAGTCGCGCACCTTCGTACACTTAGCTGTTCACCAAATAAACTTTCCCAAAATCTATATTTAAGAATAAATAACACCGTACCCTTGTGTAAACCTTAGAGAGTGCAGGTCAGGAGTAACAAACACATGATGTTCATCTACATTGTACAGTCCAGAATACTAACCTTACGATGGATGTTACTAGAAAGTATTTATATCTTGGAGGGTTTTCAAAAACTATAATTGAAATACACAAAGTAAGTATCTGGCCATCTTTTATTTTAATTTTTATGCTTATATATCTATGTTTCGATTGGAATACATTGCAATTATTTTTTCTGATATTTGAAAATAATGAAGATATTTAACTCCATAACCCGTATATTTACCTTTAAAAGAATGAAGAATATTAATGGGGAGCACATGAACTTGAACTGGGTTTATACTAATAAAAAACCATTATGGCCGTGTAACGTATGTAAAAAGTGACCTTGCCACCCCCATAAGAATAATGACCCCGCCGGATCATTAATTCATAATAGGGGAACAATAATGACCCCCTTTCTATAAAATATTTCTGACTCTCCTTTAGTAACAACTTGACCCCCAATTTTATCTTGTAAATATTTGACCCCCACACTTAGCTGTTAATAAACATATCTTACATATCAATTCAGTTATCTAAGTCGTGTTTTTCTAATTTGTTACATTTTATATTTGTGATTAGAGTTAGTTTAAGTTTATTTGCACTTTCACTGGAGACCGAGCTATGCATGTTACATATGAGCTGCAACGAAAATGATGCTGTGTCTACATACTATTAGTTACAATGAAATATAAGGATTAGCTATCCCATTTGATTATTCACTTATAAAATTATCAATCATAGGTGTAGGAGTACAAATAATACATTAAAAGGTGGCTTTAAAACAAGTAATAATGATATCAATTCTCAAAGACAAACATTGTTCGTGAACACTATTCATCTGACGTATATATAAATGCCTATTTGTTTTCATTTACTATGAGTGGAGGCAAGTTGCTTAAAAAACGGTAATGGTTCATTAAAATATGCAAGGACTTGTGGGAGTGAGCTTATATATTATGCATACATTGTTATAAGTGACATGACTTTACATTAAGTTATCCATTGATGTACACTGAGACGGTGAGATATATTTTTATGTTTATATTTGCAGCCTTGCATCAATTTCTAACAAATTAGATTTCAGTATTTGGATTTACCTTAATTCAGAAAAGACGCGCTTAGTTTCAAATCATCAAAGAGAAGAGAATATTAAACAACGTACACAGCGAGAACCGAATTAGCACTAGTTCTACGTAAAACGGCGTGTATATAATTTAAAGGTTGTGATAGCAGTTCAGTCTCACGGGACCTTAAGGCAGGTTGCGATGGAGACAGAGAAAGATTACAACAGCTGTACTAGAGTTATGTTAAAAAATGAGGAAGATATCTACGTTTCGTAAAAGAGACAGCATAGAATACATAAATAGAGGAAGTTAATTATCGTAAGAATATTGCTATTAACTCCTATATAGTTTATCTGATGACAGGGTTGTATATATAAAGAATATCACCAGCTCAATCAAAACGTCTGCACAAGTATTGTGTAAAGTTACAAGGAAGACATAATGACATCATTCAGAGCTAATAAGCAATTCGTACCAGAAATCACGAGGAGGACATTTTTAGGGGAAAAGCTAGTCCAACAACGTTAGGTTTTAGCGGACTAGAAGACTATTTTCAGCATTTTTTAAATATATTTATACACTTATCATAACACCTTTTGGTTCTTTTAAAATGTTGGGCTATTTATTTATAAATTACCCTTTTGTACTTTAGCAAAATTTAAGGCTAATTACCCAAGAAAAGGAGTATAAGTATAGGAGGAACAACAAGCGGATATTGTGTTTAGGTATCCGCGATTTTTCATTTTCCTTAAGATTAATATTTTGTATTTTTGGCTGTTCCAGAATTAAATGCATTCATTTGTTATATCATCTTTATATGTCCAATTTATTGTGGCATGATACGGTTAATTTTAGATTAATTTTTATAATTTAGATTTTACGATTAAGCTCGTTATATACATCAAGCCGTACCGTTGAATCCGACTCCGACAAGTAAATTACGGGAAGATATTAATATTCGTCGTAATAAAACGAACTCAGATTTCTCCGTTTTAATAAGAACGAACAATTAGTCCGTTGTTATTAAGATTGCCACGGGATTATGACGTAGGACCAACGGACCCAATCGAGAAGCGTAATACAACCGTTATCTAGGCAGGGGATTACCCATCAAAAGTTAATTTACATTAATTAATTCTTATAAAAACCAGTCATGTATTGTGATAAAACAAAGGCGATATCAGATGATATATTCGTATTACAAATCTTAAACATTAAGCCTCTAGATCTTTGTATCAGTATGATTAGAATTTTTTCGGAATTATACAATAACTAGTAAATATATTATGAGAAACAGTCCTTCGAAACGCAAAGTATTTTTATGGTTTTCGCTGACAAAACACATTATCTGGAAAAAAGGTAACAGAATATATAATTAATGCGGATAAACGTGTTATATAAATGTGAATTAATATAGATGGATGAACAGGATTTGGATCATTCCAATATGATTAGATTAAAAATAAAATATTAAGTGTTTATGTCTATATATTGTCCGCTTTTTCATGCATTTATAGGAGTTAATATGTATAGGAATAGATCATGAGTACCAGTTGGATGTGAGATTTGATCAAACTCGCTTCAAAGCTCGTTGATAAATCTCACATCCAACGGTAACGAGCGTCTAATCTGACTTGACCACAGGTAGTTTCCTTATGTTTTAAAAGAGGTGAAAGAATTTAACATTTAAACGAATTTATTTCGTCTTTTCACAAACAATTACATAGGGATATCCAATTTTTCCTTATTCATTATTTTGGCCTTATTGTATCCAAATTGCAGAGGCAAAATGGCCAATAATTCATGATTTCTTGGTGAGAATCGAATAAGTTAACTGAATACAACATTATTTATATAGTGAGAGATGTATTGGTATTATGTGACATTCCTTTATAAAAATTATCTAATCACGGGAGATATTGGCAACATGACGGTGCGTTTTGAGATGCGTCAGACAGGGAGTCTTTCATAAATCAAGATTTCTATCGAATATGAATTGACTTATAAGGTTAATAAGTTTTGATTTTTATACTATACGTCAGGGGACGGTTAGTAATGAAAAGACAGGTCGGTGAATACGTGCAAGGATAGTAGAGTATTACATAATTAAACAAGTGAGGATGCGACATATATTTGGCAGGGTTGAACAGTTATGTTTAGTTATTAACGGATTAGTTCCACATAGGTTACTAAATGAGTTTAAATATGTTTTGCTGCAATTTGTTTATCAGATGAATAGAAATCAATCGACTCAAGGAGTTTATACTGGAAACGGGAGTGTATTTCGAAGAAAGTATGTAAACTACACAGACGATACATATATTACAGTACTTGCGTTCATACTTCAATCTTGTCAGAATTAGCGAGAACCCTGAAGACAGCAAAGGATTAAGTCCCAACTGCGAGACATCACTTACTATAGTTTCCCACCGAGGCCTTTCAAAGCAAGTGGGCATGGACATTATAGGTCATCTACCTTAAGAGGAACCATGCTTTAATACGGAAGGGTAAGTTTTGTCTGTCCGGTTATGAGTTGGTGACTAACTGTGGTCTGATTGGTAGACCCCGCTGGTTGACTGATCGTAGACAAATGATATGTCGGGGCACTCTTGCTCAGGTGCCCGGGCGGATAGGTCGGATGTTTGTCACTATGAGGGCAAAATAAGATTGTCAAGGAAACTTTTTTTACGCGGGCGGATTTTCAACGCATAAGAGGGCATGTTTTAGGCGGCCAGAAAGGCCCCCCTTTCGCCGCATAAGAACCCAATATACATTTACTAGATTTATCACTTTCTATGAGAGTACAACAAGACCAGGATCTAGTTTTCATCGTACTCATCTCTCTTTCCCCTGAAAAGTCTTAAGTTAGGAAGTTGATCATTCACCATTCTTCTCAAGTGGAGGACATGTTGTTTTATCTTCACCTATAAGGCATTTATAAACAACATTTGGGATAAAAACATTGATACAGCAAACTACTCCTGAACACCCCGCTTGGTGGATTTCGTTCAAACTTTCACAGATGATCAACCTTAATGTGTAGATGATCGTAAAGATCAGGAATTTTGGCTGTGATTGGTTTTAGCAAAATTATGGCCTTTTGATGTTTTATTCACTAAACATTATATGGAGTGCAGATAAAAATTGAGTGGGATACCTGCAATAACTTCTCCTAACACAGCTTGGGAGATTTTGTTAAAAACTTTCAACACCCAGAGGTCAGGGATGATCAACCTTAATATGTTTGATGATCCGGTAAAAGACGGAATTTTGCTGCGTTTTAGTCTTAACAGAATTATGGGCCCTTTGTTGTGTTAAGTTCACTAATACATTCATATAAGAGGAATTGATTATTGTGTGACAAAGTAATACACTTTTTGTAGGTGGTAATATATAATTTCATGTATTAATTGTGACATTATTTGAACACCAACAAGCTTATGTGCTGTGACCTGATGGTTCAAGAACAAATTCAATTATGAACGATAACCTTGACTCTGATGACTCCTTGAACGTTCAAATTTAAGGGCCTCATAAGGCCCATCTTGTTGTTTGGAGTGGCTGGCCACTCAATTTATCTGAGTGACTAAACGTAAGCTACAAGAAATTA